TGTGGCTCTCGAGCCGCAGTTTGCCGACCACGGGGCTAGGGCAAGCCGAGCTGCTTTCAACACGGCCGTCGCCACCGCTACTCTCGCCACACGTTTCCGGTGGCGACTGGGAAGCCATCGGGGAGCCCAGGTGACGGGCGCGGGCGAGGTCCACGGGATGAACTCTGAGCCGGAGCACGCGTGGGCGCCCAGCAGCGTTGCCGCTCACGGAGGGCCTTGGGCGCCGGCAGGAGGTCATCGCCCGGAGTCGTGGGCGCACTCATCACTCAGGCCTCCTGGGCCTGTGCCTTTAATTCAATCAACGGTTCCGTTTAATGGACCGGATGACGGGCAATAAACGGCAAGCAGGCGCCATCCTGGGGAGGCTTCCGCTCTGACCCGCAATTAAACGCCCTGGAAACGCCGGTTAGCCCGTCTGCTCCGCATCTGAATGTGGCCGTGACTCGGCTGCCAATCACACAGATGCAGACACCCACCGGCGGTAAAGTAGAGGCTTAGTTTGTGCTCAGTAGGAATGGGAACAAGGAACCCGTCTCTGCAATGTTTTCAGAATTGCACCTGTCACCTGGGTGGCAGCCATGACTAAAGGCCTATGAGTGAGTGAGTGAACAGCTGAGTGAGTGAGTGAGTGAATGAATGAATGAATGAATGATCAACTTGACGATGAATGAACAACTGAATGGATGAATGACAGGGCACTTGGATGGACAAGTGGGAAACACAGCAGCTGAACCTGAGAATTCCTCAGAAAACCCTCGTTACCAGAAACACCTGTGGTCGCAAGGACACACGCCGATTCCCTGATTCCTGTGGGGGCCCGGCTGAGTTTCCGCATAAGAAACACGCGGCAGAACACCTGGTGTGAGAGGCAGCGGGCGGGTGGGCGGTTTTCTCCAGAAATTGAGGCGCTCGAGAGGGAGGAGTATTTTGTGCGTGCATGCACCTCACGTTACGTCAACCTTCTGTACTGACTGTTTAAGTAGAAAGATGTACACACGCACACACACACCACACCCGCTCAGGTGCGCACACGGACAAGCACGCAGGACAGCACACGCCGATCACGCGTGACCACGTGCACGCTTCACGGCATCCTCTCGGATGAGATGCGAACGCTTCCTGTCTTTAGCCACTTCTGTTCCAGCAACAAGCCCAGCGTGCGAGAGGCCCCGTCGCCCTGTGGGGGCCGAGGCCCCGGTGGGTGGCTCACTTACGGGAATTAGGGACCACCCCTCCCGGCACCTTGCGAAGCTAATGTGTCGCCAA